GACTTTGAATTGTCGTTAAGACATTGGAAGTTTCTCTTTGAATATTCCTTAAATTTTATAAATACCTTTGAGTATTTCGAAAGCTCCATCAAAACGGTAACAATATTGTGTTAATTGCCCTTGATTATCATGTTGCTTGGTTGCCTTTGGCATTCATATTACGTTGGTTGCCTTTGGTATCCACGTTGTTTTGGTTGTCATGTTGCTTGGTTGTCTTTGACATCCACGTTGCATTTGGTATTCACGTTGCATTGGTTGACTTTGGTATCCATGTTATGTTAATTGCTTTTGGTATTCACGTTACTTGCGTTGGTTACCTTTGGTATTCACATTGTGTTGGTTGTTTTTGGTTGTCATGTTACTTGGTTATCTTTGGCATCCACGTTGGTTGCAAAAATAAAAAAGAACAAAAAGCAAAGAACAAAAAGCAAGTCAAAATATATGTGTAACTTGATATTCCGATCATGGTAATACTGATCGTTAGGGATCAGATTTTCCCACATACAATATGATATTATCCTATGGGTGATATGTGGATGATCTTCATCACATGAAAACTACTCCACTTTAACCTACCCCACCCAATAGAATACATATCTCAGCATCGCATTTTTAATCAACCGTGATGTAGCCCGTGATGGTCGTGTTTCAGCCGTGATCACAGTGTGATCAATATAAATACATAGGAAAATCTTTACTGTTATCAGCCGTGATCGATACGTGATGCACCCACAATAAGCGATTGATATATTTATATACGAAATTCCCCTTTATTTAACCAATGATCATTAATTGATATATTTACATGACCTTTTAAGGGTTATACGAGTGATGAATTTCTATTATATTACTACGTCTCGCATATCTCAAGTCTAAAGAAAAAAAATAAATTGATCCAATGATCATGGATTATGTAAGACTAACAATTGACTCGCAGTACAACCTTATATACTATTATTTATTCTTGGGAGTTTTTTGGGGGGATGCTGTTGTTTCTGGGAGATTATCTATTGTAAATAAATCCTCTGACTTTGTGCGTAAAGCAATTAATTTTATTTTCTTAACAGTATCAAGAACATTGTTTATATCTTTCTGCAATTATCGAAAACAATTAGAAACTGAAATTTGTAAAAAATTTACAATACAAAGACATACCTTTAAGCACAGAATATCTTTTAAAGACATGAGACTTTCCGGAATACTTCCCCACGTAGTACCGATCCGATACCGACATGTCTCAAAAACGAAATAATATTGAAGGTCATTATCGTAGTACATTGCATAGATCTTTCCGTTAAGACCTTGAATGTAAAGGATGGGTCTCAGCCAAGAGTGAAAGATAATCAATACAAGAATTTCTCCATTGCTTTTTATAACTACCTCCTTGATTTATTCCATGTACAACAATGTTCTTTATCAATTTAATTGTTTCCTTCGTAAATTTTAACTTCTTCAAGAGACGGTCTAGTTGATCCTCCATTTCTCGCAAAATTTTATGCTTGTAGGAAATCGGTTTGGAGTTTTGTGGATCTTCGTCAACGTATGTTTCTGAACCGAAATATTCCATGTCATCGATGCGAAAAAGAATATCAATTTTGTGCCCATATTGTTTTTTTTCCGATTCTTCCCTTGATAAGCTTTTACGCTCAATAGATGCCAATGACATCTCTTCACCTCTGAGGTGCGGAAAAAAATGATTTGAGACTTAAAGCTAAGAAATCAACTATCGTATTAAATTTATTAGGAAACTTCATACTAACCGATGAACTTGAATTTCCTCGCATGTTAGAAAGCAATCATCAATTAGCGAAGCCAAGATATGGCAATTCAGCCAACCTTCTGAGTTTTTATTTAAGAGCGGATTCCGCGGAGCTTCAAAAAATGATGCCCTAGATAATAAGGTGATTTATTATGAGATAGGTCTTGACATAAATAGTTTTATAGAAACGAGATTTAACTCACAATTTGTCAGCAAAACGATGAATCCATTTTATTTCATAGTGTTTGCTAAATGAATATGTTTCATCTGGTGGAACAAATGAAAGTTGAAGCTTGCTACGGAATTTATCGCGAGTATCAGACTGAAATCAAAGATAGGAAAAAAGTGTTAGCAAAATTAATAATGGTTATAAAGAAAAAAGAAATTACTAGTGTCAATCCTTAAAAAAAACATACATTATCGATTAATTCATCGATATATTTTGTAGCCTCATTAGTGACAGGATCCCATGTGTAATCGCGTTTGATTTTCAATCTATTCATTAAAAGCTTGTTTGTTGTGTCAATTATGTTTGAACAGATTGGTTCGCTATAATAAAAAATAGGGATAATTAGTTAGCTAATAATATAAAATAGGATTATAAATCAGCTTTAATAGACATGTTTTTACTTACTACGTGGATTTCGTTCGCTGTTTTTCCTGTCTTAATCGTTTAAGTAGGTCTTGATTTTCAGATGCTGAGCGAATTTGATGAGGCGGAGTATGTGGCCTATCATACTCCGAACTATTAATTCGTTTATACCACTAGTAATTCCTGTAGCCCCTCCACTTTCCGAATTTGATGACGAATATCGGACTATGCTTGATTTATTCGATGAATCTGATTGTGTTGTTGCCTCTCCTGGCGCCTCTCTTCGTACTACCGGTAATGATGGCATGCCCTTCGTGGTTCTGACCTGTTCACGCAAAAATAATAGAAAAATTGAGAAAAATTCATGATAACAAACCCTTATCATCATAGGATGCATTTATACTGACCTTCTTGGATACAGCCGAATCAACTGACTCTTTACTCTGAATCATTAAAAAATGATTACATAAAATTCAATGCCTTATCAATATCCTGACCTTTCGTAACGATAAATTTTTTTTCCGCTTTGCTGTGGACTTTTTTGGAGGTCGGAAATCATCATCGGACTAAACGCAAAGAAAGAGTTAATATCTGACAGTCAACATTTTGTCGACTCTCACAACTCCTAACAAAAAATACACACCTCTGAACGTTCATTAGCATCTGCATCTATCTCTCGAAGATTCGAAACTTTCGAAACGATTGCATTTGCATTATGTTTAGCCGTTGCGTCCAATATTTTTAGACTACCAGAGATATGATTATTGATTACGGATTTCTGTTTATCAATATAATGAATGAAATCAATAAATGTACTAGTAATAGAGCAAGCAAATTGTAATAATCTTGACTTACTTCTCCCTTTTCGTTGACAATATTTTGCCAACAATACATTAAAGACTTATTTGAAATTTCTGATTTCACCTGTTATGGAAAATAGTTAATTAGTAAAATATTTTTGTGAATATCAATCATAGAGAAGCCCCATAAGAACGCAATGATGGCGCCCAGCCGATCACCAGATACTCCAAAGTCAACCGATCACCAACTCAGGAGCGCAACCACCATCACTTGGGCCAGCCGATCACCGAATACCCTTAATCAACCGATCACCAATTAAGAGCTCCCTTTTATTTATATTAGAAAAAAAGGTATAATAAATAAAACCTTTGCATGTATATCATCGTATTTTTCAGGAATAATATCTTTAACGCTTCTTTAAGAATCTCATTTCCCATGCAGTTTCTAAACCACTCCAGTCATCAGTATTTGGTGGGGGAGTCTATAATCATTTCCTTGTAAAGGTCTACGAACTCGCGAAATGAACAAGTCTCGTTACGATTTCTTATGTAAGAACAAACGGCTAAAGAGATGGTTGGTTAGTAAGCATCAAAGAGAGAATATTAGGGGTCACCGTGCAATTTAGAACTTACACGTATAGCCGTGATAATATTCAGACATTTTCGAAAATTGGGAAAACCGAAAGTGTTGATTCTACTGAACGTTATTTATACCTGCAGAATCAATTGTCGTACAAATCAGTTCCATAGTCACATGATAATCATTTAAATTAGATCACCGATTTTTTAGATTTTTACAAATCAGAGAAATATATGATGCTATCAAGGGAGGATCCTAGGCCATTTAATGCGAGTCCCACCATCTTTGCTCTCTCTTTAAGAAGTTTGACACTTAATTTTTTTATTACAAGCCAGATATGGACAAATTATTTTTCATTGATAGTAAACACAACACGCTTAAAAAATCAAAGTAAAGCTCTTTATTATATTTTTCGTAAAATAATATATGATAAAGGGCCGGCCGTCTAAAAATGAAAGTAAAAAATAATAGAGTAGCAGGATGTTTCAAGGGAGGAAAGGCATAAAAAACACGCCTGCTTGTTAAGCCTGCCGAGCCCTAACTCATATAATAGCAGTTCCTTCCCTGCTACTCAAAGGTGTAAATGAGTGTTATCTATCCAAGCACCTATCTTTTCTAAGTTTTCGCTTCTTATACTATTCCCATTGTAAAAATCCTTTATTGTATCTTTTCCAATTACTCCCATCCCAAGCTAAGAATATCAGTCGATACAATATTACACATATGATCTAAAGTATAATCATTCGCACCCTTAACCCTATCAAAGACATCTGAAAACTGTTTCCAGATTACAGAGATGATATTTGCGAATTTTTGACTTGAATCTGAAGAATTTGATGAATGAGTGGAAGATGATGGACGAGCAGAAGACGAACAATCTCAATCTGTCTTACAAACTATCTCTTCTAAGCTCCAGGAGAATCAATCTAATCAAATAATACTTTCACATGATGATTTCAAAAAAATTATAGCAGGTTTTAAGAGAATTATCACTAAAGCACAGCAAACTTTGAAGAAAAATCCTGGACCAGGAAAACAAAAAGCTGATAAACTTGTTATAAACCATTTTTTAGATAGTGTTTTTGATGATACAGATTTACAAGAAGAAGCTTATAACTATGATCCCATTGAAGAAATGAGATAACAATTCGAGCAGTTAGAAATCAACTAGACAAAAATAACTCAAGTAATATATGCAGTTTTAAAATCATCCTGATATAGATGCTCAGAATGTAACAAAACAGAACATAATTCTCGCAACTATTCTAAAAATAAAAAGAAGAGCAAGTTCAGATATTCTAACAAAAGTAAGTCTAAAAAGAAAGGTAAGGTTAATATGACTATTAATGATTCTAGTTCTAATTCAAGTTCTGATTATAACTCTTCTGATAACAATTCTGATTCTGATTCTGGATCTGACTTTGATGATATCTTCTTTGAAATTGAGAGTATGCAAGTTAACATCACTAAGTCAAAAAAAAAGTAAACCAAAAGCAGAATTCCAAGAAATCTAAGTTTAAGAAAAAGGGATCAAACATTTAAAAATTTCAGTATTGGTACTTGATAGTGGGGCTGAACCTTCAATTATATCAGAAGATATTGTTAAATGTGTAAATTGACCAATTGATAAATCAGAAAAATATGATCTTACAACAGTTTCAACAGAATCTATTGGCATTATTTATAATTTTTCAATAACATTCTCTCCAGATTTTATTATACATGAAGATTTTGTAGTTGTACGTTGTTATGATTGGAAATTCCTATAATTTCCATAATTTTCATAATTTTCATAATTTTCATAATTTTCATAATTTTCATAATTTTCATAATTTTCATAATTACCATAATTTTCATAATTCTTATAATCTTTATAAACTCTAAAAA